GCATCTCAATACAAGCGTCTAAAAATCGACAATTAGGCCTACAGTTTAAATATGTTTCGTACCCAAAGAACTAATTTAACCGCTGGGGTAATGAAATTTACACACTTTCCGTTATTGATGGTAGTGTACCAGACGCTTTGTTAATACTTTATGGGAAGATAAAAAAAAAAAGAAAAAGAATTGATACCATTATAAACGGAAAATACGTGAAATAGCAACAAACGAAGACAGTTGATTTTTACACTTTTTCATACCATAATTTTAAAAATTCACTTTTATATAATGTTGTTTTATCAAGAGTTCGATCAAGAAAAACTTCAAGATCCTAATCAAAGATGGCGATTATCCAGAAAGACATGGTGTTTATACAAAATGTGTTTTGTACAGATTTATATTTCGTTTATAGTCATTCCAGTGTTTTGCACTTCTATACTTTAGATATAAAGCAACTCCATATTCTGTTTAGTAGGTATTTGTTTCATTAATCTCCAACTACATAATACAAGAATAGCATTATTTAAAGGATTTATCTATCAAAAACATACACCCTTCTCATATATATTGTATTTCACTGAATGATGCTGCATATGTAAATAAAAAGCTCACATGGCACAACACACACTTAGTATGCGAGACGTCGAAGATTCAATCCCGTCTATATCCATTTTTTAAAAATATTTTCCCCATAACAACGTTTCAGTAGTTAAATAATGTAAGTACATGCCCGTCTATATCCATTTTTTTAAATATTTTCCCCATAACAACGTTTCAGTAGTTAAACAATGTAAGTACATGCCCGTCTATATCCATTTTTTAAAATATTTTCTCCATAACAACGTTTCAGTAGTTAAACAATGTAAGTACATGAATCGCACGCGAAGCACGAGTTTTAGATTGTTTTGAATTTCGCGCAAAGCTACTCAAGGGCTATCCGCACTAGACGTCTCTAATTTAGTAGTGATAGACTAGAGGGAAGGCAGCTACTCAGCAACACCCACCGCCAACTCTTGGGCTACTCTTTTACCAACAAATAATGGAATTGACCATCACATTATGACGCTCCTACGACTGAAAGGACGAGCATGTTCGAACCCGCGGCCCTAAGACTGCGAGTCGAGCACCTTAACCACTAGACAATGTGAGGCCAAATTTTTTGATTCCATTATTTTTAAACGTTTTTTTTTCGTATGTATATGCCGAACATAATATAGATGAAATACGACTGTTGTTAGTTGTAATTTTAATATTTTAATTTAGATGTTTGTTTGCTAGAGAGAGCTTGTCATGACGTTATTATGAAGCAAGATTTAGGAATTTCATGAAAGTTAAGGCCTCTATAGAGTCTGGAAACTTCCTGTGTAACACAAAAAAGTAGATTCTATATAAATACCAGACTCATTGAAGCTAATGAGTTATTCAGTTCAGTGTCAGTTAGACTATGCAAGTGTTCTTCTGTGATGTAGTTGGTCAGTGAATTAATCAGTGTGTTTGTTTTTCATGGATTAGCGAGAAAATCCTGCAAAGAGGTTTATCAGGAAGTTAGATTTACATTAGTTTTGAAATTTCTGTTGAAATGCTGTTTATGAATGATAGAATATGTTACAATACTCTTCTTTCGGAAGATCCTAAGGGGTCGAATGAAGAATGTAGTGTTTAAAAATACAGCAAGTTTAATACTATCGTCCTATGACAAATGTAATTGTTTTCTCAATTTATGCTAGGCCTATAAAATGTCGGTGAGAGTGCCAAATCGCATATTTAAATGTGAACAAAAGTTAATTATTATCATTATTTTCATTCAACAGCTACAATTCTGTCGTTTTATTCAGCAATTTAGAACGAGGTTCTTACCAACATATTGAAACTATGCTTGTTTTCATGTAACAAACAATAGTGTGACATTGTATTATCGCTCATATTATTTTGTTTACCTGTCGATTAAATAGGCTTTTCTTCTAGTAGTTTTTGCTCCACTGCATATAAATTCGTCTTGATCATGTTATGACTCCAGTTTTCACGTTTCTCACTGATTTTGGTGGAATTGGTAAAATATATATCAGGTAAACAAATGAAATACGTGTACCCCTCAAATAGGCTTATTGATTGACCAAGTGTTGAATTGAGAAGCATGCTGGCCCGGTGCTGGGACTGTATCGATACTGGCGCCACCGTGAGTTAGCACTTTCGCGCACGATCCCTCATTCCACTTAACAAAAAACCTTTCAAATAACTGAAACCTTGTGGACCTATAAAAACCTTTATGTTTCAATTTGATGTTCATATTAAGTTTTATTGTACCATCCCAAGTTTAAACAATGTTTAAAACAATAACTATTCTGAATGATACTATTTGTTGCCATGGGTTACAGTACATCTTGTGTTAGTCATTACGAGGTATGATACTTACAAATAAAATCATGAACCAGTTTTTTAAAGAATGTTATTCATTTTAGATCTGAAATAAACTCTAATAAGAACAAAAAGGGACAATATAATATTAATAATATGATGGCACTGTATTTCCAGTCCTGATTGTACGCCCCTTAAAAACTGAATATTTTCCTCAAAATATTTAGTAATTGGCCCAAAATGCCACTCAAAATATTCTGACCTTTATATCACCATATAAATAACAGGTGAAGTAATCAGGTATAAGCTGACAGGTTGTTTTTAGTGGCAAATATATGACTTACACACATATCCGTCAGGTTTATGACTCATTCTATTATATTTTTGTTGTCTGGATTTACATTTCTCTCTACCCCTTTTTTTAACGAATTCGAAGAACTTATTCTAGAAACGTTGTTCATTATTTTGGAAATGTTTATGCTGAAGACAGAATTGAGAAAATTCTGAAACGTCCATGTTCTTTATACTACCATTAATTTTATGATTTTAGGTTTCTGCTAAACGAGTACTGAGCTTAATTTAGACTTACAATAACTACCCTACAGTCACGTGGCACCTATTCGCTTGCAGACGAAGGTACATAGTTTAAAGTCTGTTGCTGATCGGTATTGCCAAGTGAGCGTATTTCCCATTTTACGAGTAACATTTTCTTGATATCGTTTTCGTCAGACTGAGATAAACACAATGATATACTGTACATTATGTCGTCAATAAAAATGGGAATGTGGGAGAAATGGGGTTAGATATCAAAGACTTCCAGATAAAAAAAACAAAACATGATTTTATAGAATTTCCAGAATTGAAATTTTTGTTTACAAAATGCACAACTTTCCAGAATTTTCATAACCTGTGCGAACTCTGTGTTTTAGGGTTGCCCAAATATACTCTGAAAACTTGTAAAGAAGAAGATCACATTGACCTCAGTATTACATAAAAGCCTTTTGAAGTGAAGTAAGCACTGCAAAGCCATAATTATTTGGAACATTATTAGTGGTGGAAAAAGAGAATATAAGGCCTAGACACTCAGCCTAGTGTTATTTTTAAGCACTGTAAACACCAACCAACTTGTAGTTATAAAAGTTGAACTTAATATATGCATTTTAATACTTTATATAATATGTACTTCTAAAATTCATACAAAAATCATAAGGTTGCAATCATTAAAATAATACAGTACTAACAACTAAAGATGTATTATTAAGTATGGTAGTATTTAATAGTAGGGATCGACAAGGTTTCCAAATAAATCACGCGCCGAAAACTAGCCTATTGAATTCCTAAGCAAAAAAGAAAAACGATACAAATTAATAACATGCTAAAAAGGTCGCTAGCATTTCTGGTATAACTATTCAAAAATTTCTGAAACAGCAACTTTTTCGTCTACTACCTACCTACCTGATCACGTCAGCAGGGCTAGCCCCTAGATGGCTCGGACTATCGCTACAAGTTTTCTCCAGTTTAGTTGACTGGTCTGTGGGTATTCGCTTTTGATATTCCGATAACTATACACATATTTTTTTATAAATGGTAAACATATCATGCATGTTCATAAATATCTATTAAACCCAATTTCAAAACAACAGGTGGCGCTACATATCGATCGATAGACGTGCGACAGTTTCTATATGTAAAGTATATACTTTATATAGGTATAACATAAAAAGTAAACAAATAAGAGTATTACAAAATCGTGAATTTTAAAATGAAGTAGGGATCCTAGTACAAAAAGTAATGAAACAAGATTTAAAACCACAATCACAAATTTATAAAATTTAATCCCTACTTTGACAGCTTTATACACTTATCTGTAGGCCAAAGTAAGGATTACATTTTATAAATTTGTGATTGTGATTTTAATTCTTGTAAAAAATATAGCTATCAGGGATATGGCTATACTGAAACTTTATAGATGTTGTGTCCATTCCATGGACATATAAAAAATTCAACAAATATATAGAAAAATATATAACCATAATAAATTACTTTATTTCGTCCTTTAACATTTCTATTTGCTTGAACACAAGTATACTCTGTAAACTTTTGTAGGCCTACTTTCAAATAATGTTAACTTACACTTCCTTAAACAAATCAACTTATTTGTACAAAGTGAAATTATCCCAACAAAAATTTTGGTTTAATTAATTATTTCACTGTTTTTGAAATTACTCAACCAATGAACAATTTTCTTTAAGCCTATGTGTAATTATTTTATGTTCTTTCCTTTTTGCAAAATTATCCAATCAGGGACTAATTTAACTTTAAGCCAAATTTTACTGGTTTATACTTTACGTTTGTTACTGATTCAATTTTGAATCTATATAAAATTCAATTATTTTAGTTTGTGTTAAAACTGTTTAATCACTGTTTAACTGAACTTTAAACTTACTTCAATTTACTTTATCTTTCTGGAGTATTGCATCTATTGATTGATTAATTTGAAGCCTACATGTTATTTAATTATTTAAATTAATTTCACTATTGTCTGTAAAACTGTCCGTTAGAACAGTTATTTAATTTAAATCCCTTATTACTTTCAATCATCTTTACCTTTGTGAAGTTGAAAATACCTTTTGAATTAGCCTGAAACTTACTCTTGTTGGTGTCAGCTCCTCTCGTCCTTGTGAAGCCGTCCAATCAGAGTCAAATGCGGAGAAGCCGATAATAGATTCTATGGTTAAGACTGGCACTAACTCAATCAGATTCCCTGACCGGTCTTGTTTTGTGTTGATTTCCATGGAAAACTGAATTGAAAGAATGAACTTAAACAAAGGCAAACATGCAATAAATTTATCTATAAAAATTGGCATACTCTCTATAATATCAACACCTTTCTAAGAAAAATACCATAAAATAATAAATTCAAAATGCACAATTTCTCTGAATAGAAATAATATATGTAAAGTATAAAACTATTCAGACACAATGCGCATAAATGTCTAAATATGGTTTACTTCCAACTTTTTTTTGCAAAAATATGTTGAATGCAACAACACTGAAATTTCTTTGTAACAACTGCTAATCACTACAGATGTTTATTAACCTTTCAGTTTTTCTTTAATTAGTATCATATTAGCAACATTCTAATACTGAAATATATGTAATCAATTATAACATATTATTTAAAATTTGCAACTTTGAATATTTTATGAATGATGTTTAAGAAACAAAAAATCAGAAAAGTACTAACCTAACATCTATAATATTAATAAAAACTAAAAACATAAGTTTAATGATAAGACCATCAAGATTCTTTTTGTCATTATACCAAAAATAAACTTTCAGAAGGTGTCGTTCTACTTTGAATTTTAATAGAAACAGTCAGTAAAATATGTACAAGTTCAAATACTTTTATTATATGTTGAATTACAGAGCTAGCAGAATTATGATAGAATACTTCGAGCTTCTAAATTCTGTCAATATACGAGAATACTTTTTTTCAATGAATTGTACCAATATTTTCCATTCACGTGCTTTCACCCAACTTATTTTTACAATTCTAGGTTCAGTCTTACATATCTAGTATTTTAAAGCACGATTAATTTATAAACACTTTTATATTTTAAGACACTTAAAAGTACTACTAACATCTGCTCGATTAATTGCAGCAACTGGTAACATTACGCTGTCAGTAATCACATGTCCATCTGTTGTCACATGGTATACTATCACATTACATGCAGGGGCCATCTCTGGTGAGATTGCAACTGAGAAGGTGGTAATGCTGTTTATCATTCCATTAACTTTTGCCACACCATCCAGGATTATGATCCCTTTGGAAACCACCTGTATTAGAAAGTTATTTATATACATATATATACTTACTGGTACTTTAATCACAAAATTTTGCTAGAAATATAAATCATAGATTGTATTGATTATTATGTAACTGGACCCAAACATTTTCTTTATGTATTTTCAAATTAGTTATAAATATTATTTCTCAGAAATCTCCATTAGTTTACCAGACTTTGTTACATATTAAAATATGAAATGTAAAATATTCATATTCATTGCTGACTTCAATTTAGTAACTTGAGTTTTTCACATAAAAGTAGCAGTTATCAGATATTGTAATTAAAGTATATCTATCTATTTACCATCATTTATTTTAAGCAGTAGCTTTAGTTCAGTTTATTGAAAAATGTATGATTAATCATTAATACTTAAAAGTATATTTACAGTAAATATGTTGATTTTCAATAGTGACTTTAGTTTCTAAGGTAAAAAATAAAATTAGGTAACTGGTTTTTGTCAAAATATGTTAATTTGTAAAATTCATAAAGTAGCCTTCATTTTATTAAGATGCAATAGTCATGAAAAAATAGGATCACGTACTAGATAATGAAATGTCTTCATATAAAAGTTTGCCCACACATGGAAGATGGCATATTCACCAGCCTAAAGAAAGAAAACACACACAAACACTAAATATACTGAAAAGTTTTATGAGTTCAAAAACATAAATGTTTATTGATAAAACAAAACACGAACGTAATAACAGAAAGCATTTATTAAATGTTTCAGAATCGTCATAACTCCATGATTAGTGATCTAGAGATACAAAACAAACAAACAATATTTATAATTACAGCAGAAATATATATACATAAGAAACAAACAATTCGAATATACAAATACAACACGAAAAAATGAAAACTGAGGCACAAGTGAAATAGTTAAAATAGGTTTAAATCCAGTGTGTTATTTAGTGGTGGAAAAAGAGTTTTAATGTATAATATTTATTTTATAAGAAGTTCAGTATCGTGTTTGGCTGTTAAAGAACTTGAAAGTTTGAGAGAGAAATTGGATGTTCTATTTCTTTATTGTGTTGATAGATAGCGGAGTTGGGAGGGTTTGTAACCATTCTTCCAGTTTTTATAGATATGCCTATGTGTTCACATGCTCGTACTTTAAGGTGACGTTTGGTTTCACCAATATAGGATGCCTTACTATCTCCGCACGTGTATAATTAGACGAAATGTGAACAATGGCCAATCGCCAAACGATCTTGTAGCGAAAAGAAATATTTTTAGTTTAAAATTGGGTTTCATAACAAGTTTCAGTTCAATTTGTGATAGTAAGTGTTACATAATATTTTCAACTGTTTCGTGATAAGGGAGCTCTGTCTCCCGAGATATGGTAAGCAGGTGTATAAGGGAAGTTTGGGTACAGTGGGTATCTTAAATGGTTTGACAAACAAATTAATTAAAAATAAGGAAGTTAATTTCTCCAAGAAACGCTTAGCGTAGCCGTTTCGAAAGAGAATGTTTTGTACAAAAGTAATTTCTTTGTGAAGGGCTAATTAGGATGAGGTAAGTTTGTAGGCCCTATTTTGTAGACAGCGAATAAAATTGTGTTTGAAAGAGAAGGGTATAAAACTGTAAACCTGAGTGAAAAGGCCAGTAAATGTTTTTTACGATAGACAGAATTTGAAAAGCTATTAGCATATAAAGTTATTTATCTCAATTTCATGAGTGAACTGTATAGAGAGGTGTTGTGAACTGAGATAGTCAAGAAAGCGTTGGATATGATCAATATCAAGAATGGTGGATCATTCAACCTTTCCACAAGTAACACAACAATGGAGCTGGAAGACAGTGATATCAACATAATATCTGATATTGGCTCATAGGCAGTACTGGAAAACCTTCAAAGTGGTTAGTACCCTAAAGGAAGGCAAAGAAATTGGAAAGTAAGACCATTACATGGATGGACGTGCCAAGCCATTTAGGGGAGAAGTCTGACAAACTTGCAGGAGAAACCCTTTTATAAAATCCAGCACAGCTCTACTGGCAGAATATCGACATCCTTTGCATTAGTAAGACAAAGGTGACATCAGGGGAGATCTTCATCGGCATTCAGAGGGAATGAGACTGCTGTAAAACAAAGTACCGTATGGCGTAGCCAGGAAAAGCAAAAGATGGGGAATGAATAAAACAATACACAGCCAAGAAGTCACTGGTAACATCACTGAAAGAATGCTACCTCCTGCGAGGCAGCTAGTCTCCACGTGAGAAGTTAATTCGCATGGGGACAGCCCCTGGGATTTTCATCTAGTATTCAACTCAACTGAATTATTCTTTTTTACTGTATTTAAAGTCTGAGTTATGTAACACGGTATGTTTTGTTTTCAGAAATTTTTATAACAGGAGTGAAAAGGTTAGTCGTAAAATCATAACAATTACAACAAGCACCCCCTTCCCCTCAGAAAATATGGATATCTCATTGTCAATCTTTTTTTTTCTTTTGGTATAGTGTGTAAAAATTGAACCAGAATTAAAAGTATTTTAAATGAGAAATAGGAGTAAGTATGAATCTTGTTAACCACATATTAACACACTATTTCTAAATATCTTTGATATTTTTCTTACTACTGTATGACATTTGATAAGCCTAATTATTTGATTGAAAACAGAGTACTACTATTTCAATTAACTAATATTCTAGGACAAAATACGGTTATTTTTTAGAAAGGATGTAAACAAATGTTTTCTTGATGATATACTACATTACTTCTAGGACCTTTGGTACATCCATTAACCAGTAATACAATACAGTACACATACCTCTGGTACATCCATTAACCAGTAATACAATACAGCACACATACGTTTCAAATATAGATATAGAGATCTTAGGAAATGCTCAGTCTTTAATAATGGCATTAAAAATATTTATATATCGTGCTAATATTCTATTTATAAAATCTGTCTTATGTCTAATTACTAATATTCCACGGTATATGATAAGCTTAGGTAATTATTCTGAAATAGAAAACTGCTATTGGGATTGAGTGGATAAAAATACATACCGAGGATTCTGCTGTACTTGTGGTAATTTGCATGTATCTGTTTTTAGGAGAGTAATAAGCTAGCAGCACTAATTCTGTTGTAATTTCGTCATCAGGATCTTCATAACGTGCCTGTGAGTTATCATAAAAAACTTTTAAACTTTTCAGTCTCTTTTCTTCTTAGAAACATATATGATTTCAGAGATTAGAACCTATGGTAAAGTAACAAATTGAAATTATAAATATTTCTTTATTAGTTCATTATGAGGTCGACTAGCATACTAGGCGTTCTCATTGTATAAAATAACAGTCTTGATGCTAAAAGGCATTAACTATGTGACTATAACAATACTATGTAATGTAAAATGATAAAAATCATATACTTCGAGCGCTTTGGAAAGAATTTGTATTATTTTATATTAAAAATTCTTGAACCTACGTGTTTTTCTGACATCATGAGTACACCGACAAACACAATTTAAAACAGATTATTCTAATAACGTATGCTCCAAGTTATAGGTTCAGCGGCACTGTAAAGGAACTTTCAGTAGTTTTGTTTAAGATAATTATCTCAATATCTGAATTTAATTGAAAAATTAAGGAGGGTATAACCATCGTTATTAATGAGTCAACAATGCTAGTTTACTGAAAATTGCACTACATTGTTCTAATCAAGGAGGGTATAACCATCGTTATTAATGAGTCAACAATGCTAGTTTACTGAAAATTCCACTACATTGTTCTAATCAAGGAGGGTATAACCATCGTTATTAATGAGTCAACAATGCTAGTTTACTGAAAATTCCACTACATTGTTCTAATCATATAGCTGTTTTATGACAAAAAGAAACAAAAACTAAACAAATCATGGCATATACTTTTTCCCAGACATGAAGCTGAATGGAGCCAAAAGTAGTTGTAAAGAAAACAACAAAAACAGCGAATTACATGTAGGGTTATCTTAGTAGCATCTTTGGGTGTGTCAAATCCTATTGTCATTAATCCTTCTTCCTCAAACGACTCTTCAATGAGTTCAAGTTCCATTCTTCCACCATTAGCCAACTCAACAGTGGGACGCACTTGAACTATAGATTCGGCTAATTTGTCTTCGGAGAGAGGCACTAGATCATCGTAAGAAATTGCCAGCTACAGGAAAACAATAATATGTGTATTACTTACTTACGCATGTGGAAAAATTTCAAGTCAACAGGAAAACAATCATGTGTGTATTACTTACTTACGCATGTGGGGAAATTTTCAAGTCAACAGGAAAACAATAATATGTGTATTACTTACTTACGCATGTGGGGAAATTTTCAAGTCACCAGAAAAACAATCATATGTGTATTACTTACTTACGCATGTGGAAATATTTCAAGTCAACAGGAAAACAATCATATGTGTATTACTTACTTACGCATGTGGAAAAATTTCAAGTCAACAGGAAAACAATAATATGTGTATTACTTACTTACGCATGTGGAAAAATTTCAAATCAACAGGAAAACAATCATATGTGTATTACTTACTTACGCATGTGGGGAAATTTTCAAGTCAACAGGAAAACAATCATATGTGTATTACTTACTTACGCATGTGGAAAAATTTCAAGTCAACAGGAAAACAATCATATGTGTATTACTTACTTACACACGTGGAGAAATTTCAAGTCAACAGCTTAGAAATTAGACAAGAAATTACGGTATAACATTTTCAAGTTTTGAAACATCATAAGTACAATATAGATATATAATGATGAACAATGAAAACCTATCAACACAGCTTTTTGTAACTTACATGTGTTTTAAAAGACATTCCTGGTTTAAATATCTGTGGACTAACACCTAAGAACCTTAAATATAACTCGGCCTTGATAATTCTAGTTCTGGAATAAGCAGGTAACACAATGTCCAGAAAACGGTCACCAACTTCAACTTGCACTTCCACCTCACAGCCTTCCAAGGGATGTGGAGCTACTAACTGACGTAGATCATCAAGTGCAAACTGGAAATTGTAGCTTCCTTTATACTGTAAACAATAAGTTTTAAATTTATCCGTCTTCTTACAATACTGGCTCTCAAGATGTAAAACAAAAATTTACATTTTAATACAAAAAATACTAAAACTGATATGAATAAAAGGGAATTGTTTAATAGTGTTGCATATAGAATAACAAAGAAGTTGTCTACTCAGATAAAAAAAAGGCAAAAAAGGTAAGGTGCAATACTATTTTCGAGTCATCTTAGTTTCATAACCTTCAAAAGTAATGAAAAAACTGTTTCTTTTGTTGATATATAATTATCGTTAGTAGAATAAAGTTATTAGTATGTACAGTATACTTCTGATTACAGTAGTCCTAGTGGAATCAAGCTTCTGAATAGTACAATAAGATACATCAATAAATCAAATGAGGTGAGCGAAACATGAATTTTGGGAACAAACTGGGAAGTCCAACCAAAGAAGGTAAAACAACAACAACAACACACACACACACACACACACACATCACTCTGATTTCAAGAACGTTATTTTAAATATTAAAAATTGGCCTAAGTGCATATAGATGCATACCCATTTCGAATTTTAAATAGCTGATGATTTTACCTTTCCATGACTAGTTTAGAATATACCTATATCAATATATATAAATTTTTTTTTTGATTTTCGAGCAGGAGTTATGCTTGTAATTATGACGTCCTTGTTAACCAGATATCAAAAGGTCGTAAACATATGCTAATGTTTTACTTAGATAAAAAATATACAGCAATAGCTAGCTCATACAAACTTGTATCAAGTGGCCCTGTGTCTGTGTTCGCTAATTGGGAAAGGTCAATCCTATCTCAAGGGGTGACACAGATACTTGTACAATTAGGTATGAGAAAGTTTGTTTGACTTGAAAGTGCAGTATGATAAAATCATTGCTGTCTTTGTCTTTTACAGACGCATTTGGAAATTCTTCTATTCACCTCTTCAGTCAGGGAGGTCAAAATGGAAAGTTAAAAGTCAGCCAGTTTAGTGAATTTTTTATTTGTTCTTCCCTTGCTGTCTGTGTACGACTTAATACCTGCGTAATGTTTCCAGGGCCTCTTGTATTGCAGAAACTTCTCGCTACATGTTAAATATCAGTGTATATAAATACACTATCTGCATGTGTTATGTTTGAACGTTGATAAATTTAAGGAAAACATGTTTGTACAAATAATGATTAATTTAATAACTTAGGTATATATATGTTTATGTGAGTGTGAGAAAATCGTATATAGCAGCAATTAAATGTCATTGTTTACCCTAGAGAAACATAACAATGTTGAAAAAAATACCTTACTTTTAATATTATACTACTTTATGACAGTAATATGTCTAATGTAGGATTTAAAGGCATATTTTTGTTGCCTTTATCAATTCTGTTCACGAATGAAAGTATTTTGTGAACAGAAGTCCCACGATAGTTCAGTGTTAAGTTTCAGCTTATAATGCTAAAATTTTGGTTTCGATCCTCGTGGTAAACACGACGCTGATAGCCAGATGTGCAGCTAATAACAAACAAGCACTGATCAGAAAAGAAATGTATAAAGTTTCCTTATTCTCAAATAAAATAAAACCACAAACTGAAAGAATATTATATAATTATTGAGTATACTAAGCCTCTCTAAACTAATATTATTAGATGTTTCTCTACTTACAAGAGCAACCGTTTTTAGTAAGTATGGATCCCATATCGGAGGAAGTTTATAATGATCAGGGGCTTTGATAACTGCTCTAATAGTAGCATTTCCAATAACTGGCGCTAAGCTTGTGTGATTGGATGCCACAAGTCCTTCTAAGTATTCTTCCGAGGTCAGAACATAAGCAGGTATATAAACAACGACATCCATCTTGTGACTGAAATATCTCTCCATCTTGATTTTCTTTTCTTCTACCTGTTCGAGTGCAACAACTCGCACCTTCCACCATCCTTTTGAATAGTCGCCAGGAAGGTGGAAATGAACACTCACAAATCCTAAATAAAACAAACGAAAGTAGGTTTATCATGAAAGAAATCTATTGATAAGTAGTTTGTGCATATTACCTCACAATAAGACCATGTATATATATATATATATATATATATATATATATATATATAGATAGATAGATGGTCACACTTCGTCAGATTATAGTGTTGTATATAATAGAGAAAGTATTGTTTATTTACGTATACAAATAGTCAGAACACCTTTTGTTTTCCTTTGTTCACTAATACTTTATGAAGTATTTATTATTATAACAAAAATACAATGGTGTTGTAAAATGAAACATAAATATAATCTGACTTACTCTTGTGGCTCCCTCTCTCACAATTGTAGTAATTGACAAAAAAAATATTTAAGTGTAAACAGAATATATGACCGAAAATATCGTTAACAGTGAGGGTATCCAACTGACGAAACAATGTATTCTAATCTTTATAAGTGAGAACGCAAGAAAGGTGTATTTAATTAGCTATACTCATTATCAGGTTGATTTTTAGTTTCGTTCTGAGTAGGTAGCTTGTTCTGATCAGAAGTTAATACTAACTACTGAAATATAGGTAACAACTACCATAAACTTTTCTTTATATAGGGAGTTCATTCTATCCAAGTTATATGTCAGTTAAATAAAATTAATGACACAAATATACAAGAACGACTTATTAAATATTTTACTGCATCGTTCCAAGAGCCTCCCAGTGGCACAGCGTATGTCTGCAGACTTACAACGCTAGAATCCGGGTTTAGATACCTGTGGTGGGCAGAGCACAGATAGCCCATTGTGTAGCTTTGTGCTTAATTACAAACAAACAAACAAATCGTTCCAGGACAAACAACTATGGTTTTTAACCTTAGTTTGATTTTTGAATCTTTCTCCTCATTAAGTCTATTTAAATAATACTTTATTAATGATGTTTTTTGTTTTTTTTTCAAAATCAATAAAACTTCAAAGGCCAAGTTTATCAAACAATTTGCATGGTCAATATCCACGTATTGTGCAGTTCTTATTTTACTTTTATTTGTTAATAAACAAGTTGTCATATAATGCGTTATACACAATCTAGTTGATTAAAGATAAGAAATATTGTTACGGAATTACCAATAGAGGGGGTAAACAATATAATACATTTTCTGCAATGCCTCCAAAAAAAACTGGATAACAGCAGATAAAAGTAATAAAGAAGTGAAGTCTGCGAGGGTGACCACGAAATTCGCATTTATTTACTTATTTTTTTATGTCTAACTGATTATATTTCTATCAGAAAAAGAAGCATTAGGGTCAATTGGGTTTTTGAGATTTTGTCATTTTTTTCTTCTCAAACTGACTTAACTTTTCATTCTAAATTGCTCGTATTTTCTTAAACATATTCTTAAGACAGGCTAGAAACCGGGTTTCGATACCCGTGGTGGGCAGAGCACAGATAGCTCTTGTGTAGCTTTGTGCATAATTAAAAACAAACAAAACAAAAACAAATCTTAAGACATCTAACGTGTCTGGAAAGAATTATTCAGAATCTTATTTTTGAATACAAATGATCAAATGAAACGTTTACAATAGAAGACATATGTGAATATCAAAATATTTTATTATTATATTGCGTTTATTTCGTTCAGAAAAAAAAAAAAAATTTCTTACCACTGTAAGGATAAATGGATACCCATCGTTTCATCACAATTCCCTGTGAATCCTGAAAGAAAAGACCGTCGGTGAGTGAAATAACGAATAAAACTCACTTTAACTATTGAAAAAATATATACCGTATTTTTCGGTGTATAAGACGCACTTTTTTATCCCAAAATTTGATGTCAAAATCTGCTTGCGTCCTATACACCGAAGGTATGAATAATATACATGTATATATACGATATACACAAGCTCATGTGTAAATATATTTAAATAGGCATGCACAGTTTACTTCAATTGAATGTGTTATTTATAACAATAGTAGTTTTCTTTCGTTTAAAAACATAACTATTTATAATTCTCCCTAAATAATAAACAAATAAATTACAGTGAAAGCAATGAAGATTTTGAGCCAACCTAAATAACAGTAAACCTTTTTTTGATTTACGGTATTTTCTTATCTCGATGTTTTGAGCTCTTTTGTGTTTAGAACAATATATACTAATATTTAAAGTATCAAATTGAATTTTTGTTCAATAAAAATCTTTCAAATGCGACTGTAGCTTTTTTTCCCCAAAAAACTTTGTCTTCAAAATAAGGGTGCGTCGTATATTTCGAAAAATACGGTACACAGTATTTATTTGAATAAGGTCGTTTTCACTACTTTTTAAAACGTTGCACGACGAGAGAGTATCCTCAAAGTTGTAATACTAATATTATGCCCTCTTATATCTTCTCAGGATAAGCTAGTAGGATCGAGGAATTCTTGAATGGGATATTCATAGCGAAGTTATAGTTTTAGATCCCACCTTAGATTTGTTAATTTAGTATATATTTTTAATTTTAATGAAGTTGGAATATTAGTCTATTCTTAGGCGGGGATTTAACTTCATCACTGTCTTAGTCTAGTCTGCTAGAATGGTCAAACATATGATTCGACAAAATGGTCAAATATTTTAGTCGTGTCTTACTTTTCTGGGTATTATTTACTTCGGAAAATAAAATTAATATAAATAAACAAGTCTTAAAAATGAATTTACACTTTCCTTGTCCCATCCTTCTGCAGTAAAAATAATATAACTGCTATTGTTGAATTACAATGTATATTAATCAAGTTGTGTGTAAGTTTATTTGTTTGTTTGTCCGCAAACTCCTCCCACAGTTTTGAAGCAAATTTAGCAGGCGGACTCACGGTGTACTCTCAGTCCAGAGGGAAGGGGGATAAAACGAGTCCAGGAAATCACCAGGTCATGACGTGGATCTAGGATTTGGTTTTCAGGGTCGTTGAACTCGAATTTGTCATTGTATTTTGTGTTACTGGCTCCCCTCGTCATTCGGGAGGCACCATGTTTGGTCAGTATTTTATTTGTCATTGTATTTTGTGTTACTGGCTCCCCTCGTCATTCGGGAGGCACCATGTTTGGGCAGTATTTTATTTGTCATTGTATTTTGTGTTACTGGCTCCCCTCGTCATTCGGGAGGCACCATGTTTGGGCAGTATTTTATTTGTCATTGTATTTTGTGTTACTGGCTCCCCTCGTCATTCGGGAGGCACCATGTTTGGGCAGTATTTTATTCAACATTTCACACAGCTACTTCGTTTTATAGCAATTCACAACGTTTTCCAATTAGGAGTTTCACAATATTGATTGATATATAATTGATTATCATTTTATGTATTATTTTTCATACCTTTTTGAGTTCTTTATGGTTGTTTGCATCTCCTTGTTATGCTTAGCTTTGTTGTTTGGTATTTATATACAGTATTGGAAATAATGGTTATGCATGTTGAGGAAAAAATAAATAAGCGGCAAATACTATATAAATACCATTTCCTTTTCATGTGAAAATTAATTGCACCAGAATTCAGTTAGGTGTTTATAGTTTAGACTATGATTAGTTGTCATCCAATCAATCAGAAAATGACACATCAGTATAAATAAGTAATAGTGTATTCCAGTCACGTCTCCGGGACTGAAATACCGCAAGAGAAACGTGTAGAAATAAACATTTTGTTTAATCAAGGGTACTTCATGCGAAAAATAGCGGAAAGACTCCGTTTTTTTTAAAAGTAGAATCTGTGTGCAAGACTCTGAAGAGGGTAAGTGAAACTCACTGTTATAAATATAAGTGGTCGAGGTAAAAAAAACTGAAACTCTCCAAAACTTGTGTTAATTGTTTCTGGACATGTTCTTCATAAGATAAACAACAATCAAGTACATATCTTTACAACAACCTTGCTGTAAATACAGGTGTTAATGTTACCTCGAAAATAGTTAGATACTCAAATAGTACAAATAGACGTATAATAGACCAAGAAAAACTTCTCCGAAGTACCCAAACCAAAATGTTGAAAGGGTGGCGAACGTAAAATGTGAGTAGAGCCGGAAACATGTATTCTTCACAGATTAATCCAAGTTTAGATTTGTTTGACAAAAATCGATGACAGTTTGATCACTGGTGGGGAGCGGAGCAATATCATAGTGAATGTATGACAGTCTACAGTGAAGCACGATGGGGAATCAGTACACGTTTGGGGCTGCACTTCAGCCAATGGTGTTGGTGATCTCGTAAAAGTGATGGCACCTTAACAACTGAGAAATACATGCGCTTTCCATTCCACCATGCCATTCAACCAAAAATACGACTGATTGGACGTGGACGCATCCTCCAATAAAACAATGATCCCATGTATACGGAAAATGGTGAAACAATATTATGATGGTAAAAAGCCAATGAACACTCACACCATGCACGAATGTACAGGTTTGAATATTCTTGGGGCGTTATGGACATATGTAACAAACTGAGAAGGTCAAAAGATGAACGAAAATGTTGGTTGATTTGCGGGGATATTTGGAACAATATTCCATAATGACAAACTATATAACTGCATGAAAACAAAACAAAGGTTCATATACAAACTTCTAGTGTATTGTACAACTTATTCAATTTTCGTTTGTATTTTCTGTGATAATGTTTTAATTAATTCATAAATTCGTCATCTAGTTGCCATTACGAGTTAACTGTGACTCCTGTATGTATAAAACTTGTGTGCTCCCATAATTATGTCCATTGCTGTACGTATACATTTTGGACAGTTTCTTCATATTTTATTTTCAGAATTTTTCACTGTTCATGAGCGAGACGAAGAGGAACACACCTGGAATTTTAGTGAATACGTACCCCGTGATTCCTTGAAAGAACATACAGGCATAATTTTCCCTCACAATTAAAAATATTTGACAGATACCAACCAACATTTAACTACAAAAGTAAGGCACATGTATTTATAGCAACTTTAAAACTATACTGCTTCCACAATAATCGGTTAATTCAGTTGTATTGCAAATTTAAATCATCATAACAATGAAATCACAAAGATAATCCAATGGCTTTAATGAAACATATATATACCCCTTTACTAAAAGTTCTATATAATCACTACCGCCAGATGGCACCGCCTTAAAGTTTAATATTTTGATTATCAACTGATCTTTTATTTTCTTATGAATAATCAAAATAAATAAATGCCCAAAATACAATAAGCTAGAATATTCCGAGAAAACTATGTTATCGTAATTACGTATTCCTAAAAGTGCTAATGAATTTTCAACTACTGCGAAATTTATCACCATTGTAAATATTGTTTTAATAAGCGGAATAAACACATTACAACTATTATTAATGTAGCGCTGAATGAATTCATCATTCAATAACAATAATAAAGAGATCTATCTAAGAAAATAACAACTTACCACCAAGTAAATGTCCACAGGATCCGTGTAGGGTTTTAGTTGCGTCGTGAGAAGTATGACTCGGATGTATACTAGAAAGTAAGGTACGTGATTAAAAAACAGGGAAACGCATTTCTGTGAATATCTTAGCACGAGAATTCAAACTTCATTGATGGAATTTAATTTTTTTGTTTAACAATCATAAATTTGATTTGCAAATTGAAAACAGCAAAACAATTAAAGTTTAAAACTACAACACATTGTCATTTAAATATTTTTAGTGTTTTAATATCAAATGACGTTTTGGAAACGCGTATAATTCACCCTACCTCGTCGTATAATCCCAAACATTATATATATTTAAAATTTTCGGGTCACAAACGTTAGAAACAAAATCAAATGTCAAAGAATTTAAGTTTGAGTAAAATGCAAAGAATGAATAGCTTGAGTTGAAAGGTAGGAATTAAGACTTCAAATTTGAAATATTTGTAACATGCAGTAACACCAGACAGAGAAATGTTTAACAGGACTTAGCAAAATACAATATTGTTAGCACTTATAACTAGAAAATGGTTGAAATTCAATAAGAATAGAAAAACGGCAAATTTCAATTAATTCTTACCATAAACGTCGTATCATACACATTAAGGTGAGTTCATCAAAACTTAATGTTTGTTTTTGGCTTGTAGTTAAGAACTATTTGTGCTGTGCCAATCACAGGTAGCGAAACCCGTTTTTCAGCATTATAAACCTTCAAAATACCGCCGTTTCACTGGGGGGGGGCAAAGAAATTAATAACGTAAGAGACCAAGAAAACTGGATGAAAGCAACTTTTGATTGAATATACTTTACCAAGTTTCTTAGTGCATTACGAAATTCAAACCAGGAATGTCATGTGTAAATATTATCATTTCTTACCCATTTTTCATCTCCTCAAGTCGCTGCCCAGAAAGTCTCCTTGTTGTTAAGCGCAAAGCTACACAATGATTTTTTGTGCTCTTCTCACCGCGTATATCAAAACCCGATTTTTTGCTTATAAACCTTCAGTCTTGCCGGTGAGTTACAGGGGGCGGGGGTGGCAGGAGGCCATTCATTGTTTTAATCACATTTTGTATTAGGCATTTTTTGCTTCTAAACTTTTTAGTTTGTATAACCAAGTAAAAGTCTATTTCGTAAGCCATCGTTTTGGTATCATATCTTTTTATAGGACTGGGGTATTCGAGCGAACTGACATAAAAAAATGTTAGGATTTTCAACGATTTGACAACTCTCTCATTCGCTTTTGTTTGCATTGATTCTTCTCCCATTAGTTTCGTCTTTTCCAGTGCCAAACAGTTGTAATGGTGTGATGTTGACACTACGCGCTTTGAATGTCGTTTTTCTCAAAATAACTAACTTTCAGTTAAATATAAAATATTTTGTTTGGAGCTAAGAAGTCAGCAATCCAGACAATATAGTTAAAAAACACAGGTATTGTAAATTGGTTTTTTTTACAATAGTATTTCTCCCTCAACCAAAGGCGGCTCTCGGGGACAGGCATCGGACATAAAATATTTGGGATTTATTCGATTCTGGTGAAACTTTCAGAGAATGTAGCAAACTGTGAGAGTTGGCGATTACACTGTATAGTCCAAATCGGACAAAGATTGTCCATCCGAGTTATAACTGGACATATCACCATCAGAAGTCCCATAGTTAATGAGAGTATTTCCTGTTGAGTAACTGACAAATTCGTTACTTAAGCCCTCTTTATTTATTTTTTTTTTGCCTATCGTTGCAGCTGTTTTCTCAGGCCAGAGTCCAAAAGACCTTCAGCAAACAGCTCCAAACCCCGCTGACCATGACTGGAACTGGTCATAGTCAACCATTATTCTCTCGACTACCTGTACGTGCAAGGTTCTGATATGTTCGGCTTACAAGCTGTGCAGCTTCCATAGATGTTACAACGATAGACTTTTTAAGAGCCTTTGTTGAGGCAACTCCATTTAATAAGCCAAAGTTGCTGTGGTGGCACTCAAAAACAGATTGTTGGCAAGGACAGTGGTGATAGCAGTAATAGCATTCTGCCAGATCAGAAGATTATAAACAAGATCTACAACTGACAATGAAGAAAGGTCGCATAATTTGATTTAACAATCAAAGAAAGAAATAGAAAATTTGTATGTGTGTGACCATTGCTGGAAAGGTAGTGTGGCCACTCCGAAGTCATGTGTCTCTTGATTGCTCATATCTCCCGACTGAAATACGTTACCAAAATATGGATTGAATTTTTGAATACAAAACACGCCGGACTTTCCAATGGTGTGTGCAAAACCTCCAAGAAACAGTTACTGGAATTTCTCGTTCCTTGCCATGTCATCCATGTCACGCCTCTGGTTGAGGAAAGATCCCGTGTTAATAAAACACAAAATAATTTTACAGTAGTGTCATGAACGCTGTGTACTTTTCCTGCTTGTTCTCGTGGTCTCAAAAATCACTGAAACGTTTCATTTCTTTAATTATGGTTATTTAAACAATATTTTCCCATGTTATAATCAAACTTCTTACACTCTGCCGGTATCAAAGCCTGTATCTATTGCATGCTAAGCTAGCGCTCTAAAGGTTAAACCTTTAGCTACTGTAAATAATACACTTTAAAGCTACACATTCACACACATATGTATAGGTAGTCGATCTGGAGATGTAAGAGTATTATCATTCCTTTTCAGTTTAAGCCTAAATCTGAATTATCATACATGTAAGAAAATATAAAAACGTGAATGTTTAAATAAACCAAATTATTCCAAATATATATTGACACAATTTAGTCACAAGTGCAAAGCGTGATATGATATTCACGTTAGGAAAGAGAGAAAAAAACAAACAAGGGAAATGTAATTTTGATTTGTTTTGTAAGTATACAGCTGCCACAAGTGTTACATTACAAAAAACAACAACAACAAAGAACTGTAAGTATACAGCTGCCACAAGTGTTACATTACAAAAACAACAACAACAAAGAACTGTAAGTATACAGCTGCCACAAGTGTTACATTACAAAAAAAACAACAACAAAGAACTGTAAGTATACAGCTGCCACAAGTGTTACATTACAAAAAACAACAACAACAAAGAACTGTAAGCATACAGCTGCCACAAGTGTTACATTACAAAAAACAACAACAACAAATTCTGAATACAAGAGCAGAGCAGTTTTCCCAGTAAATAACAGCTCGTGACAAAATGTAGTTAACAAAGAAATAAAATATGCTATATTAATTATTTCAGAGTTTGATATGGCTAATGTCTTTTAGTATGGGCCCGGCATGGCCAGGTGGTTAGGGCGCTCGACTCGTAATCTGAGGGTCGCGGGTTCGAATCCCCGTCACACCAAACATGCCAACCTAGTCTTTGCCAGGATGAGAAAGGAGGAGGGTTGGGCGCGGGGCTAGCAATTCCACCCCGTAAAAACCAACCTGTTACAAGTAACTGCAACAACACCTTCCGTTGGTGAGGTGTTGTTGCGCCCTATGCTCCACTAGGAGTTTACAGGAATAAAAAAAAATGTCTTTTAGTATATGATCAACACTTCCCAACTAAAAATTGTATTTCTAAATTTAATTATAATTACATTAATCGCTCTTTAAAGACAATGGATATCAGATAGAGTTAAGAAATTGTGAAACTTCTTTCTGGCGTTTACAAGCCATACTCACAGACTTTGAGAAGTCCACCTTCAAGGTTTTGTTTTCGTTTTTAGTATAGTGACAAAATAATCAAACTATTATTCAGAAAAAAAATCGCGACAACGTATTTGTACATAAGTGAAGTTTTTTATTATGGATTACTCAGAAAATGATAACAACTGAAAATTAAAATCACGATAAACTTAGTTAAAGAAATGTTGATAATGCAATAATTCGTTATAATGTTTCAAAATATCTGAAATATATAAAAATTATCTACTGAGATGAAAAAATGGAGTTTAAGTGTTTGCTTATTATATGTGGTTAAATGTGAATAAACAATTCTAGAAGAGGTTGTAAGACCACAGACGTTATACAGAATGTGAGATGCTTATTTTGCTAGAATGGATACATTTTCTATTATTTTTTCCTGAAAGAAGTGTTCAGCAAAACAGTTACTGTTAGTGAGAGATTTGAAGTGCTTACTTTGTTGTCGAAGGTTATATACAAGTTTGTTCGTTTGGATTAGTATTGTTAAGAAACGTTGAGAATACTCCACTTCTGTTTCATTGATGAAACCAGTTCCTCCCAAAGCCTCCTTTACCTTCCCTTCCACACGTAATGTATACCTTCCTGGTTCGGCACGAAATGGAACCTGCAAATTGCATGTTTTAGTTTAAAATTTTAATTTATTATAACTTCAAATAGAAGAATTAAACTAATTTAAACGTTTTATCTAAAATGTGTACAGTTCATTATAGTTATTTCTATGTTGCAATATTTCAGATATAATTTTTAGGACATTTTAACCCAAACTACCAAGCCAATCACCAAAAAAGGTAACATAATTATTCAAAACTAAGAACTCCAGCCTGAAAAATATCTCCCTACTTTTTAAAAAGAAAAAAAAAGTAGAGAGAAGAAAACATGGGTCACAACAATAAAATATTCAAGTAGTAAATTTTGGAGAGGACTTCTTTGAATTTCGATTTAATTATCTGACCAAAACATTTTACATGTACGAAAACAGCCAAGCCATACTAATGGGGTCAGCCATGTAAACGTGTGATATAAAAGAGTCGAGTTACATGAAAAGGCAAACTCTGTAAAGATATAATATAAAAGTGGGGAAACATGAAAAAAGGGAGACTTAACCTCCTTTTTATATTCATGTTACTGCTTGTTCAAGTTGTAATGAAAAAGAAGGACATGTTTCCCCAATATGTTTCTTGTTTACAATACCCAATTTTACATTACATCTTTAAAGGGTTTGCTCATTTATATAACTTGGGTGGCTCTTTTTTATGTTACATGTTTTTGTGACTAACCCGTTTATTTTAATTTGGCTGTATTTGTTCTGACAAGCAATATCACTTACTTTTATTACTTTACATGTTTTAGGCGCTAATATTTACCAGTGTGATTTTGTTTTATGCCAGTCCTCCTTTGTATGCTTTATTTTTTGCCACTTCAACAAGGAGAATAACAATAATACTACCACTTTTTTGAATCTGCCGTTTATATGGTCATAAGCATAAGAATTGTGGTATTAGAACATTTAGAAAAGCTGTGGCAATACCTCAGATTTGGCCCAAAGTTTGGTCTTGTATGTTACTCCACCTTCTAACTTGGCAGGAGTCACTACAGTGCGTCGATATTCGAAACAAAACAAACTGCGTGGTATATGTTGTTGTTTTTCTCTTAAATATTTTTCAAATCCACCACTTAGTTTTTAATATTTTATAGGAAAGGTAAACGCCAACGTGACGAATAGTCATGGCAAAACAATGCGTTATTTTGAAAGAACTTGAGAATATATGCTACAAACTTTATTATGCGGGCTAATTTCCATTGCAAAGTAACTTGACTGACGTGATAGACTAGAGTGGCGTCAACTAGTGAACACCTACCTCCCTCTTTCAATTCTGAAGCTATCCTTGTAAGACCGATCAGTGGGATATGATCATCACTCTTATAGTGCCCCAACGGTTCCCAACCTCAGATCCACAGTCCAGCATGATAAAATTGGGCCACGCTCGGTCCCCATACTAAGAGAATAGTAATAAACTCACTTGGATTCTATCAACATTTTACTGTTTTTGTTTTTGTTAAGCGAAAAGTTACACAATGGGCCATGTGTGCTGTGCTCACTGTAGGGATCGAATTCTAAATTTTAGTATTATAAATAGTTAAACTTATTGCTGAGTCACCAGAGGGGGGGGACTAACATTATGATAACAATAAAATATTCATATATAATTTTATCTTTAAAACTAGTCTGTATTTAGTAGTAGCCTTTCAATGTCAACTTCAATGATGTGAAGG